TATATTATATGAGAGAATATGTACAGTGAATGGATTGCACATGAACTGTTTATATTGCACAGACAGATGAATATGGCACAGTGAATATTGCATAGTTGAGAAATTCAAAAGTGCAGTCCAATGGTGGTGCATGTAGTTTTACTGTTCTTGTGGATGGCCTTTAGTACAATGAGTATACCTGGCGTGTCCCGCTATCAGATCCAGGTCGTCATATGAGTGCAGGAACGTCATGTTGTCCTCCTGAATGCAGCGGTTCACTACATTCATCAGACTGGAGGTGGGAACTCGCTCCACCTCGACCCCAAAGCTCTGAGGATGAGAACAAATGAGTTGAAACACATCTGAAAGAATGCTTCAGAAATTAAAACCAATCTAAAAATCTAAAAAATATCACAGTTTATGATATGGAAACATGTCTGTAGGTAGAAAGAGCCATATCCAGTTTTCTGTATGAAGTGTTTTAAAGTTCTCATATGTAAAATGTAATCAGGGTGGATTTGTAATTCTATGTGTGTCTTGTATCATTTCCATTTGATTGGTATTATTTTACACCGTCAGCATTGCATCTTGCTTCTGTCTGTCTGTCAGTCAGCAGATGACCTCTGACCTGTATGAGGATGGATCTGGACACTGGGGCAGTTTCGGGCATCACCACCTTACCCCTCGACCCATAGTGCTTTGAAGCGTATGCAAAAGACTTCCCATAGTTCCCGGCAGACATGGTGACAAAATGACCACCCTCCAGTCTCCTGGCAAACTGATTGGCCACTCCTCTGATCTTAAAGGACCCTGTCAATCAAAAAACATGCGGACACGTGTCACAATGTCAGCTGCGAGAAGACGTTTGTGCATGAGAGTCCAACTGTTTCCCACCGGTTCTCTGCATGTTTTCCAGTTTGATGTGAATATTGCAGTCGACGTCGAGAGGCAGGGTGGTCTGGCACCAGGGGATCATGGGAGTGTTGATGACACCCAGGGGACTGCGCCGCACCGTTTCCCTGGCGTCTCTCAGCAAATCCAAGGTGATGGCATCCGTGGACACCTCAGTCATCTGTGTCAGAAAAACCAACATCAAGAATACATATGCATTGTGTGGCTACCATTTTATTTATCAAGCAAATGTTTACTACTTATCATTATTATTATTTATTATTACTATCATGATAATCATTTATGTGCTGTAATATATAAATACTATTATATATTATAATATATTGTGATATTATTTATTAATATATATTATAAATATATATTATTATCAACATTACTACTATCACTAATATCATTGTTGTTATTGATGTAATAACTAACGCTAATACGCAATATAATTATATGGGTTATAACATCATAATAGTCACTGTATTTTTATCTATTATTTATCTATTATTCATGTAATATCGTAAGAATTTCCCTGAACACTGAAACTCTCATTGATCCCGTGAACAAAATAGCTTTAATAGTATTTAAACTTAAAGTATTTAAAATGAGTCTGAAGGATTGTAGCTGATGTTTAGTTGAACAGTTCCACACATTCCAGAGCACTTCCACATTTATAAAGAGGAAAAAACAGAGTCGGTTTAATGACAAAGCGTTTAATCACATCAGAGTGGTTGGATCTGAGGTTTAGTATTTTATACTGACCTTCTCTTTTCCTTCAACTTTTCTTCTCCTCTGCAAAACAAGTGAGGGCTCCGCGGGATTTACGGTGTTACAACATCTGCGGCCCCCGTCACCGCTACGGTTCCGGTTTGAGTCCTGTTTCCTGACGGACGTTATAACCAAGCGGACCCAAAACATGGCGGCCCCTGAGTGCCAATGGTGTAGTTCACTTTACTCAGCTCAAACAACAGTGTGTTAATGATGACTTTACTCTGAAAACATGGGTCTCGTGAGGCACGTTGTGTGTGCCATGTCCGGCGGCGTGGACAGCTCTGTGGCTGCTTTGTTACTGAAGAGAAGAGGTGAGAAAAAACCACAACACAGAGAAATAACAAGCTAATGTCACATATTCAGAAGAACAACATAAAGAGTCAGAGACGTTCAGGTGTGTTTTTATTTCCTGATCAGTAAAATGTTTCGTGCCTCTGTTGCTAAACGTGATTGTTTAGTTCAACATGCTGCTGTCTCTCATGTGAAGGCTTCAGTGTGACTGGGGTTTATATGAAGAACTGGGATCCTGTGGATGAGAGAGGAGTGTGTAGCACAGAGAAGGACTGTGAGGACGCCTACAGAGTGTGTCACACCCTCAACATCCCCTTCCATCAAGTGTCCTACGTCAAAGAGTACTGGCATGAAGTTTTCAGGTATTTGCTATTGGTCTGCTCCATAAAATTCAGTCGATAATCAATAATCACCACGATCATTACAATGAATGTCACATCGTTATTTCTTTTGAGCTTAGGCGAGGCAAGTTTATTTGTGTAGCATGTTTCAACAAAGCAATTCAAAGTGCTTTAAAGACAAAAGGCATGGTGACATATTGTGAACGTGAAGGCAATACACAAAAGGATTTAAAAAAGAAAGAGTTGAATACAGAATAAAATAAGAAATAATTGAGTGGAAATAACAGCGCAGTGTAAGAAATGAGTAATTATTTGATTTGATAAAAGGCAGTGGAAAACAGGAAGGTCTCTAGCATTGATTTAAAATCAAAAATTTGCAGCTGACCTGCAGTTCTGGAGAATTTAGAGAATATTTTTTTGCTGAGTGAAGATTGTGATTTTAAAATCTCTTTAATGAGAAACACTTGATCAACACCAAAACATCTGTCAAATCTTAGGTCGATCAGTTAAGCGTTATACCTCCTCACTGTTCTACAATACATACATTTTATATTGATTATGTTATAATGTGCTATTGATGAAAATGATATTGTGATTATTATTCAGCTGTCGTGTTCCATTTGCAGTTATCTGTTGAAAGAGTATGAGAAGGGCAGGACACCAAACCCAGACATACTCTGCAACAAGCACATCAAATTCAACCATTTCCACAAGTATGCCATCAACACTCTGGGTATGTTGTTGTCACAATGATCATAACTGGGAAGCAGTGGGTAGTTGTTTGAAACATAAGACCATAATTAAATTGATTTCCTACCAGTGCCAAATACTTTTAATTTCTATTGATTAAGGTGCGGATGCCATGGCAACAGGCCACTATGCCAGGACGTCACAGGAAGATGAAGATTGCTTCCAGCAGACGCACATAGCTCCGTCCACCACGCTCTTCAGAGATCGATTTGAGATCAGAAATCGTAAGTGTCTCCTGATGTCCACTTAAAACTTAGCGGTGATTTTTTTCTGGCTCTAAAAGTCAGATCCTCTTACTGAAGATCTGTGTTCTGTCTTTCCTGCATCAGCGGCGAGGTTGTACAAAGGAGCAGATCTCCTCAAAGACCAAACCTTCTTCCTCAGTCAGATCTCCCAGGATGCCTTGAGACAAACCATGTTCCCACTCGCTGGACTCACCAAGGAGTTTGTCAAAAAGATTGCTGCTGAAGCAGGGTTTCACTACATTCTGAAGAAGAAAGAGGTACACAACCAACAAATGATGTAATAAAAACACATTTAATTTCTGTTTGTATGACATCAGAAGAGCAAAAACGGGAAATGTTTGTGAAAAACCTTTGAAACAAAATAAGTGATTCTTATGACTTATCTGGATGTGTTTCTTTTTGTCAGAGCATGGGCATTTGCTTCATTGGTGAGAGAAACTTTGAAAACTTTATTTTGGAGGTGAGAAAACTCAAATTAATTCCCTGGGTTTTTTTCTTCAGTGTTTATTTTGCTTTGGAAGAGAGCCTCTGTTTGTTAATCACTTATTTGCAGCCACCATTACAAAACATACATGTAAACGTCTTTTTCAGTATCTCGAGCCGAAACCAGGGAACTTTGTCTCCATTGAAGATGGGAAAATAATGGGAACACACAAAGGTTTGTAGTTCAGAGACATCTCTGTTAAAATCAAGACTTGTATATGTGTGGCTCTTATTTTAGACCAATTTAAAAATACCTAAATTCCCTGTTTTATTGTTTATATACCATCCACTGTGTCCTTGTGTCTAATCTCCATCTTGTCCTATGACATTTTCTGATTGTCTGTGTCCATGCAGGCTGGTTCACTCTGACGCTGGGCCAGAGGGCGAGGATAGGGGGGCAGAGAGACGCTTGGTTTGTGGTGGATAAAGACATTACAACAGGAGATGTGTTTGTGGTGAGATTGTGGAAATATCTTACTTTCCCGCTGTTGTAGCCTCCATTTAGACTAAATCCAGTCTAGATCTATAGATCTAGATTTAGAGTTAATAGGTGCTTTTGTCAATGCTGATTTCTTCATTGATTTTTAAACACAACATGCATTTTAGTGATTTTTTTTTCCTCCTAACACATTTATCTAAACCTGAGTTTATTTTATTCCCAAACACTATTCAATGCTGCATTCATAAAATAAACTTGGCACATAAATTTGTAATCCCCATTAATCTCATAAAGAACCGGCACACTGTATGAATGACTAAATGATGCTTCTGACTAAGTGAATCTTCTGTTCCTTTCTGTTTTCCTCCCTTTTAAAGATTTTATTTTAAATGAAGTCATCTGTCAAACCATGTTTGAAACTTGGCAAAAACTTTCTGACTTCCTTAAATTTCCTGTAAACTTCAGGCTCCGACAACCAATCACCCGGCTCTTTTCCGTGACACTGTGCGGACGGACCGCTTTCACTGGCTCACAGTGGACCCTCCCCCTGAACTAGCCAGGACCCAGATGATGGATTGTCACTTCCGCTTCATCCACCAGATGCCACTCAGTGAGTGTTGTGTTGTCAGCGTCTGTAGACAGTAGTGAAGAGCAACTAAGTACATCAAGTATTGTATTCAAGAACATATTTTAGTTTAGTATTTTCTTGTTATGTGACTTAATAGCTTTTACTCCTTACAGTACTATGAGAGCTTTAGTCAGTAGTTACTTTACTTTACTATAAGTTTATAAGGGGCTCTTCAGTGTGACAGTATTTGCAAGCATCTGAGGGACAAAACCAAGAGTGAAGGTTTCACTTTGGGCCATGTTTCATAGTTATGCATGTTTGTCTCCATATCCAGAATTTTTCAAAACTGATCAATCTAAGAAACAGTCACGAGATTGATCCATTAGAAAAGTAGTTATAAATTGCAGTTCTTTATGAAACAGCTTTAAATTGGCTTCCCCTCAACCAACTTTAACTGTTAAATGCTGGTTATGCATTCATATAATCTAGTGATGTATAACAGTGGAACTGTTTTATTATGCTTAAAATGTTCATTTATTAGTAATTCAGTATTTATTAGCTTGACTTAAATTTAAGTGAATGATCTTGATGTTTAGGGATGTATATGACACTAAGACTAATCAATAGGGAGATACATTATTCACCAAACCAAAAACAAACCCCCCCTTCTTGTGTTTTCCAGTTCCCTGCACGGTGACTCTGAATATGAATGGCTCCGTCTGGATCTCACTCTCACAGCCAATCAGAGCTCTGACACCTGGACAGGTAACAGTTAACACACCACTGTTACAGAGTACAGTGTAATCACCCAGGATTATACTGTTACACCAGTTACAATATTAAAATATGCATATTTGTTGCATATGCTATCTATCTATCTATATTATTTTTGTTTTCCTTGTGTTTGAATGTCCTTCCCAGTTTGCTGTGCTCTACAAAGGGGACGAGTGTCTGGGCAGTGGGAAGATCACCCAGCTGGGGCCCAGTGAACACACACTCCAGCAGGGCAGAGAACGGTTGATGGCAGTGGCACGGCACAGGGAGGAGCCGACCCCCGAACCGACCAGCTGAGATGACCTCATTGCTCCAGACGTGGTCTGCTGCCACATTAGGTAGAGCAACACTGTTCATGAAAACAAGCCTCAAGTGTCCCCCTGGAGGCCAAACCTAGGTGGCTGCGAACAGCTGATTGTGTTTTTTAATGCTCAACTTCTCAGCAGTGTCGAAGACACAGGAACAAAGCTAACTGCTCAGATATGTCTTGCACATTCAAAGGTATTCTTTTAAACTGGAGCCAAAATTAGATGTGTTTTTTAAACTGAAATGAAGCTCTGATTAATCTGTATTTCTCACATCACTACAGAACATAGACAACTTAAATAAGTTTACCTCCAGTCACAGAACATACTGTTTGATAATCATGGAATTGATTTGGTCTGATCTATTTAAGAAGAATATAATTTGTGCTGGATGATTTTCAAAAATATTTTC